ATTTTTGTTTTTTTTTTTCAATTATTTGCAGCATTAATTTTATTAATACTTTAGTTTTAAATTTTCAGGGCTTAACGACAGTATTATTTATCTATGTGAATACACAGACGTCAATTTTCCCAATTAGCTGTTATCTCAATATTCTCATTATATTGGATCGTTCAGATTCCGTCAAAGGTGCATTTAATAGAAGTCGAAATTTTGTGGTTGACATTTCAGAGGAACTTGACATCGGACCAACCAGACATAGGGTTAGTAACTCATATTGCTTTTATAGAGAAATATTGACAATTAGATAATTAATTTGTTTAATTGCATAAATTTAATTAATTCAAACTTAACAGAATCTTATCTTCTTTTCTCACCTATGCTTGCTAAGCTAATTTATTTGGGTGCGGTTTCGTTTTGCTAGAATGTATATAATAATTCAATTTTTGCTAAGTAACAAATTAGTTAAGTAAATTAATTGATGTGAATCAATGGTTGAAAAATTTTATCATGCGAGCTTTTTCTATTCGTTAACATCAATATGGGATTAATAAATAATTTCACTGGAAATTTTTAATTTCAAAATTTTTTTAATAAAAATAAGAGTCAGAAGTTATTTAACGTTGACTAAAGTTGTAGAAATTCTCATAAATATTTTTGAAAATTTAGCATCATTCTCTTTCAGGTAGCATTGATTGTGTATTCTGGACTCAGTTATCGTCGGGAAGTATTCAAATGGAATTTTGCTAAAAGTAATGAGGAATTTAAGAAAAGTGTGCTTAGTTTGAGAGCAATTGGTGGTACAACAAATACGAAGTTAGAGAAACTTCTATTATAAATCAAAACTTTATGTTTGCTAGAATTTTAAATTTTAACTTCAACTGTGATTTAAAATCTTTCATTGGCTTTCTAATTCATAGGCCTTCTCGTTTTTATTTTCTAAATCTTTTTAGAAAAGAAAAAAGATTTTTTCTTTCTTCATGTGGTAAATTTAAATGAATTTTTCACTTCTCAAATTTGTATGCTAAATTAATTTATTCGTTAGAACATTAAAGAAGGAGCAAAATAATTAAAAAGGAATCAAAAAATCTATTCTTGATATTTAATTAGAAGATAATCCAATTGTTTCTTTAAAAAAATTTTAATTTTTTATATTATTCATTTTTCAGGAAAGCATTGGAAATTGCACTTGAACTGATGGAATTACGTGACAAGTCAATTCCTACCCTTATAATGGTTGTTACGGATGGCCGAAGTGCGGATGATCCAAAAATCCCTGCTCAACAATTACAGCAAATTCCGAATACGTGGATTTTTGCAGCAGCAACTGGAAATCCAGAATCTGTTGACAGGTATAAATTTACTTTTTTGTTTGTTAAAGAATTTGAAATACTGACAATTATCTGTGGAAATAAAGAAATGAAAATTTTTTCTGTATTTTAAAATAATTCTAAGATGAAAAGCTTTTGCAAGACGAATTTTTTTGCAAGACACAAATTAAAAACTTTTTCTTTTTTTTCAGGCATTTTAACTAAATGCTTTCGATAATTTTAACAATTTCATTGTGCTATTTTCTGTATAAAGAAAGAAATGGATAAAATTATCAAATAAAATTGATCATTTGATAATTTTGAAATTAGATTTTTTTCCAGAAAAGAACTGCTTCAAATAGCTGGTAATATCAATCATGTGATTTTACAAAGTGGTCGAGAATTGGCAGCTGATATTACGCGTCAATTACTTAGACGAGCTCAACAAAAATGTCGCACGACAACGACAACAACAACAACAACAACGACAACAACCACAACGACTACTACAACTACAATCAATCCAATTTCAGGTATTCGTATTTTTTGAATATCTGTTAGTCAAAAGACTTAATCTAATTGATCAATAGAATTAATTGTTAAAAAGGATCGCAAAATATTGTGATCACAAATCTGACATCAAAGTGATAAGCTAAATTCACTATGAGATTGAAAAGTTAGAAATTGAAGTGATTTAATTGATATTTAATATGGATTGAATACAAACTGCAATTTATTTGTCATAATTTGACAGTTCAAAATTTCTTCGAGCCGTAAATTACTGACGGCTTAATCGAATGAATTAATCAAGACAATATTATCCGGTATTGTATCACAAGAAGAATAATATATTTGGTGTATGGTTGTAATGTCAAGAGGATCGTATTATCCTTGCAATTTTACCATAATTTTAAAATGAAATTGTAGGTTGTGAGCAAGACGTGGTACTCGTTATGGATTTATCAACGACAACAGATCCTGTTTATCGGAAATACGTGGAGATGGCTGAAGAATTAATCAACAGGCTTCTAATTGGCCGGCGATTCAGTCGAGTAGCATTAATAACATTTAGTTCAGTGGGTAAATCAAGAGTACAATTTAATTTGGACAGGTCGAGGTTTTTTTTTTTTGTCACTGAATTCAGGATTTAGAAAAACTTTTAGAATAAAAAAAAGCGAAATTTATTTTTTATTGCATCCTGAATGAACAGGAAGTCCTATGAAAGTGTGCTGTGCAGTTTAGTAGATTGACCAGTTTTATGTAAATTAATAATTCCTGAAAACAAATGAAAGGTTGGTTAATGACTTGTTAATTCTGTCATTTAATTTCCTTTTTAAACAAATTAATTTTAATTTGCAATAAAATTAGTTTTTAACAATTTGAATGAAATAAAAACGATTAAAATTTAAAAAAAAGAGATTTCCGCATTTCAAAGTTAATAAACAAGAAAGCAAGTCGAAACTTCAGGAAGAACATATACATAACATTATTTTTCTCATTTTTTTCTCAAAGTTTCCTTAAATTCTAATTATATCCAAAATGATTTTTACATTCATTAATACATTTTGGATATTAGCAATGGGCAAATATATGTACTTATAACTAAATAGACTAAATACCAAAAGTTATTTATAATTAATTAATGAATTTAGGTATTTCAATGGAAAAGATATCGTAGCCGCAATCCGAAGATTAAAATCTACGGGTGGTACAACTGCTGTCGGTTTGTTTTAATTTTTTTTTTTATAATTAATTTCTTTCTGTGGATAATGATCTGCTTCTTTTTTTTCCTGTTGTTTTTTGATTTAATTTGAAAAAAAGGGGAACAAAATTATAGCAAAACAATGTGAAAAAATAATTAGCAAAATTTGAAAATTTTTGTTTTCATATAACAGCATAAAAAATGTTTTAATCAGTTATTGCCAACAAATCATATAAAATAATTTGAAATAAATAATGATTTACAATAATGCTATGAATAAGATTATTGTGATACAATAATGAATTTGATAGGTGAAGGAATTCGACTCGGGACTGAACAACAGGACAAGCAACGCGGCGGTCGACCTAACAATATCGCAAAAAAGGCCATGCTTGTTTTTACGGATGGATGGAGTAATAAAGGACCAGATGTTGAAGAAATGAGTCGTAACGCTAAGGGAGCCGGATTTACTCTTTATACTGTAGTTTATGAGGTTTATTTACATTCCGTTTTTTTTTTTCGGATTTGCTTATAATGAATACGAGATCACATAAAGGATATAATTGAGCGAAGGTAATAATGGAACAACTAAAATACATTTCCATTCTTTTTCAGACTTAAAAATCAAATGATTGATTAATGTAAACTTAAATGTTTAATTGCTAATTCCATTGTAATTATCATAATGGTGGTAGTGAAGGGACGGTTACGGATTAAATTATTTAACGATTAAACCGTAAATTATTTCCAATATGCCAATATTATACCATATCCGTCATGTAGTTTGTACAATTAATTACTGAAAGCAAACTAAATGACAAAATAATTTTAATGATTCTAAAATATATTGCAGGGTGATGGACGAGTTGATCTGAATAATCCTGGCTTAAATCTTTATACCATTGAAACATTGGCTAATGATCAAAAACACGTTTACAGTGAGCATAATTTCACGCAACTTATTCAGAAACTTCGACAACGCAACTTGCCATGTATATAATAATTATTATATTACCAATGTTCTAAGCATACTTTCTAATTTTGACGTTAAAATAGCATAAATGTTAACAGCAAAGCCTAGGATAGCAAGCAAATCTAGTCCATGACCTTTGATTCCTCCGATAATGACAATAATGATGATGATGATGAATGTTCATTTAGTTCCTAATTCCTAAACATCATACACACATATCCTAGTGATTTTTTTTTTCATCTTGCCATAATTATAGTAAAACCGTACTCCATTTCCGCAGATGCTATAGTAATTGAATAATGTAGTGGTAATCTAATCATATGCTGCAAAATATATCCTACCTTTACTAATTAATTACTGATATAAAAAAGACTTATGCTAATGACGTATAAAGCCTGTCTTTTTTGTATTTGATTTAATCCATCCATTCATTTGTTTAACAAAGTCTAATATCAATTTGTTTTTAAAAATACCACAGATATATATGCTGCCTCAAATCATTCCTATTCTTTTAATAGACCTTATTTACATTCTGTTCTGCGATTTGTTTTTTTTTTTTTTGTCTTTCATTTTATCTTCATTTGAAATAATCTTTCATATTACCTGTCTGTTTCTTATCATTCAATGTTTCAAAATCATATATTATGGAATAATACAGTAATTACAGTAAATTAGATAAGTGTTAATTCGATCAATATATACTTGTTTTCGTAGTATGCTTATCATCTTTATGCTGCCAACAATGATAGAGCACTTTCTTTGCACTTAAATATTTCATTTACAAGAATCATTGCCATATTCTATCATCACTGTCACTTCTTCTTCTACTGTTCGATATTTTCTTTCAAATGATTGAATGTATTTTTTTTTTCACATATCTTTTCGAAGTAATTTTTTTTATCAAATTTAACCAGATTTTTTTGTTGAAATAAATAGATAATGCATAGATACTTGTACTGTGGATCATTAAGGTATCGTAAATGTACAGTCCAGTTTTAGTTGACGAAAACGGAAATTAATGAGTAATGTGATGAGAATAAATTCAAATACTCATCCACATAATGTTAACATTATGTAGTCATCATTTACCCATACCAATCAATCTCTTACGGATGTTTTCAATACCACTGAATCAATGGTAAGTTATATCAAGAATTCATCAGAAAGCCAAATACAGGATACCATACCATAGGTCACTAAATTGCAATAAGTGACACACTAGCTAATAAAATTCACAGTGAAATTTCACAAAAATAAGTGTAATTTTTTTATTTTTCTCGCCGAAATACAGAAATCGCAAAAAAACAAACAAACAAAGGAACACATGAAGCGTAGCCCAGTAAATCGTTCCTCCCAGAATTTCCGATTATTTTAACACCTAATATATGAAATCAAACAGAAAAGTTCTAATAAAACAGTAAATAAAATATCCGAGAATAGAATTAGAAAAAGAAAAACGGAAGCGCCTCATGTTATCGAACAAAGCCCAGACTGATCGATAATTGTCATTGTTTGAACAACATAATGAGTTGATGAGAAATAAAAAATAAAAAGAAAAGAAACAAAGCACTGACATGAACATTTTGGACATAAAAACATTAAGCCGTAATATCTCAAACGAGAAATGTAAACAAATAAAAAGGCGAGAGTTCATAAATCACGATGAAAATTCAACAAATTGGCAGCGCATTCATTGTAGAGAGAGAATTGAGTTTATACATTTCATTATTAGCTTAATTTGTCCAATCTTTTGGTACATTAACAAACTTGGCTTTATCTAGTTGTCCACATAAAAGACCAATATTCATGTAACGATTATGTTTAAAGTTCACCTATATATGCATTTATGTAATGTATGTGTGAATGTGGATGTAACACCGGATTTTAGCAATGATAAATCCTTTTGTTTTTGAAAAAAAAAGCTAAGACAAGAAATGAAAACACAAATTTTAGGCTTATAAAATATGATGGCAGCAACGTTCGAGTAACAGCAGTACAAGTGCAAACAGTACTGCAGCAACTCCTATACGATTATTATTATACTCAATCGAAAACCAAATGAATATAAAAATGATACATAAAAACTTCGAATAGTTCCTATCAATGAGATGATAATACAAAATTTATCTGAATCTTACGGCACAGCAATCGAAACATTTTCAAAAAAGCAGTATAGAAAATTTTTTTTTTATATTTATGTATTATGGAAATGAAATTTCCTACTTTTAAGAATAAAAAAAGTCATTGGAGATATGTGCATTTGTATAGTAATTTGCATGAGATATAAAATATCAAAGGATAAATTTACGCCATAATTCAGTTTACTTTTTTGTCACTTTTCTTGCGATTACATCATCATTCTTAACGTACGGTGCGGTATGTATCCAGACATTTTTTTACTACTGCTATGATATATGTAAAATGGCATCCAATTTATATATAGAGAACACAAAAACCAAACAAAAAAAAAAAAATTTTTTTCTTTTTTAACCAATAATAACAGCAGCAACAGCAGTGATATCCAAGGAATAATCTTATCAACACTTAAAATAACATAGGTTTGACCATAAATTGAGGCCTAAATTTGTTGACTTCTAGAAAAGATGCTGACAAGCACATACATCTAACAAATATGAAAAAAAAAACGAAAATTAAACGGTGAAAACAAATAAGCAGTTTAAAAAATAACACTGTTTTTTTGATTTTTCCCTCAAAAAAAAGTAAAAATTTTCTCATTCTAGCATATTATTACTGACATGTAAAGAAAAAGTAGCAACAAAAATACAAAACAATAGCGTTCATTAAAGGTGAAGAAAGAATATGGACGGCACAACATTCTATCCATAGAACTTGCAAACAAATAAACAACGAGCAGTAATAAACAAGAAAAAAAAATCCAATTTCTTGAGCGTTTCTTATATTTTCTAAAGCAAATTACAGAAGAGGAAAATGGGAATCCTTTTCCTAAATTTTAATTAAAAAACGGGAAAAACATTTACATTTCACTGGAAACAAATTTGCGCAATTTTTAAAGAAAATTTCTAAAATTGAAAAAGTTCACAAGAAATTTTTTCACTTTGTGCATAAACATGAAAAGCAGCAGTTTATAGTGGAAAGAACTGAAAACTACAGAAAGGAAATTTGCACTATAAAACGACCACGGATCCCATATACCTTTAAAACAATTGGAAATGTTGAAGGAAAATTAAAACGGAAAATATAGCAGGGCAATGAATAGGACGAAAGTGCTGGTAACAACTACCACCATTTAAAGCAAAAGAAAAGAAAAACAAGTTTATAGCAATAATAATTGCATAACAGTACCACTATACAGTTCACCGTTTCGGGGCAGATAGCATTTCACAAAGCAGAGTGAAAGAGATGATAATAAACTGAAAAGTTCAAGGTAATTTGAGTAATTCTTATCCTTTGACATCATAGTTACCTAAAGCAAAAATTGGAAAAAAGAAACTAAACTGTACCGATGAAGCCGAGAGAGAAAACGATGGAATGTTCAGATGATTAAACAAATACTCTTATAAATGTACCAACGCTACCTAATTCCTCGGCTTCAAGCAAAAAAGGGAAAAAGCAATAAATGGAAATCATTTCCGATGTTTTAAAAGTCTTCAAAAAAAAATCTGCTTAAAAAATTCGAAAATACTTCCGGTCTCAAATTTTTGATAGAATTGTGGAGAAATTCAAGAATTTTATCTAACTTCATTTTCGAAAGAATAAATTGTGAACTTGAAATTGGTACAACAAGAGATCAAGTGTTGCACAAAAACTGGGAGCATAAATCAGTAGTTCCCGTAAAGGTGACATAAAGAATAAAACAATTTCCGTCACGTAAAGAAACCCGCGACTCTATGTTAATACGCACACATACAGAGACACATTACGCATACACACATCAGATGTAGTGGAAAAGCCTCAGGATGTACTGTTTTAGATGTGAAATTACGATCAACATTTATAAAAATTGCACATGAATTAAGAGTGGCAGGAAGAGCACCAGATTTTGTTCTCTTATCAGTTTTATATACAGAAATATTAGTAACGACAGTATCGATATACCTGTTATCTATTAATACTGTTCTTACCGACACTTCGCTAAATTTACTGTAAAGATAAACTGAATTACAACGGGGTAACATCCGGAAAAGAAAACGACCCACAAAACTCACATTAAGAAGCCACACCCACAAAGCTTTCTCACACTCACCGGCTAATAATAGGCTTCTTTTACTAGCTCGAGAAAAAACAACTAATCAAACAAACGTCGAAACACAATCCCTGCCAGGTTTGTCGTTTATTGTACTCACTAGTGTTTTGTTCGGCACATACTGTCCTGCAAGAAATTTTTTCATTTTAATACTAATATATTTTTTTAATACTAATATGAAAATTCCGACTGTAGTTATCCTCTTGCTGAAAATCTGCAAATTAATTATATTAATTTTACCTATAAAAGAACCATCTTCCGTAAACCGCCCAGGATCCGTGTCACCATACTCCGCCATTGAATCGGTTTCTGACTCAGCTTTGCTGCCAGTTAATGACCGTTTCTCGTCATCTTCTCTGGAAAATCTTAAATAATAAGTTTCTGAACATTCCATTATTCAATAAACCGAATACGATCTTATGTTTCCAAAATATATACATAATATAAATCGTTAACTATTTCATTATTTCTACTGATTAAAGTTATTTCAGTACTTCATCATATTCAATTATTGAATTTCGATTCTAGAATATTACAAAATTTTAAAACTTACGGTTTAATATATTCACCAAATCCTCTTTCTTTAATGCTAGATAATATTGCCTGTCTGCCTTGTTGTCTTTCCTTTTCCGACACAGGATATTTTGCACCACGTTGCCGAGCTGCCACGCATACAATGCAGAGAATAATGAGCAATAAGAGAATTACCAGTAAAATGATAATTAACCACCAAATTCGTGCACTTTGTGGTGCTGCAAACAGAAAATATCAAATTTCAATTACTTGTCATATAAAAATTTTAAAGATAAAGTATTAAACCAAACAAATCTAAGCTATCGTCGAAACGATTTTTTAATTTTTTTACATCATTATAAAAATTGCAAAACCCAGTTGCAAAAAAACAGAACTGGAAAAGAAAAATTTGCAAATTCCAGAAAAGCAAACAGTTTCTCAATTTAGCAAAATAACCACATCACAATTTTTAGGATACTACAATTCCAATTAAAAAAAAGACAATTCCATAAAAGGAGAATTAGAAAACCAACCAGTTCCAGTGGTAATAATATGTGAGACAGTTGATTCCGTTTCCCTAATATTTCCAGACTGATCGCGTTGCTTTGAAACAACGATCACATCGTATTTCGTTCCAGGCTCCAAATCGTCAATGCGAACATTCAGATCATCACCTAAAAGTCTTTTGCACTAAATTTTGGTATAAAAAAATGCTCATTCTAAACAAAACATATTTCTCATGTGAAAAAAACTAACAAAGCAAATTACTCTTCATTACCATTGCTCATCACCTTTCTGACTTAAGACAAACATAGAAGTAAAATAAATGCAATGCCGAAAATAATGGAAGTGATTCAAATTAGTTGTCTCACGTAAATGATAAACCTGAACCACTGTCACAAATATTTTGCTTAAATAGATCATTAACTATTCCATGCAACTTCGTTTACCAGTTGCTTATTTCAAGTAGTTTGAAAACCTCAGGCTTATACAAACCTCTAAAAAATTAGAACTTATTTGAACAATTATACATTATGAAAAATTAACTGATTGTTAAGAAATATTTTAAATATCCCACCTAAAATGAACTGAACATCAAATATCGATGCTATATAGGGGTATCTACTGTAAAACGACAATATCCAAACCACCTATTGCGAAGTGTTTATATTTAAAATTTAAAGAGAAAAGGAGACTTGCAATACAATGATCGAAGATAATCCTACTTCCTCTACCGTTTTATTTCTGTTTATTTCATCCTAAACTACACCAAAATGTCAAGCTATAGAGGTACCTTTTGGTTCCGCAATTCCCCATTCATCATCACCAGCTTTTCGATATTTGACATACAAATCACTACCAATCGGCCGTGCTTCATTTTTGTCAAATTCACCCGGTGTCAATGTTATATTGATAAAATCATCACCAACACCACTTTCCTCCAAATGTGGCTGTTCCGGTTCCACTGCAATTAAAAAGCAACAAATACAAATTTACGATGTTGAAAGTTCAAATTCACCAATTTTGAAATCAAAACTTTCAAATTTCGAGGAAAATTCTTAATGGTTTACAGCACAATCCCATGTGTTCGGGTTAATTTTAATGAAAAAGAATAATTTTTTTAATAATAATGTAGAGAAATTAGTTTAAAACCAACAGTATTTTTTCACCGTCCCTTTACGCCAGGGCTGATAAAATGTAATCATTCAAAGGAAAAAGTTCGCAATTTGCAATGCTCAAAATTATCAAGAATCGCTGCAAAATAAAAAAGAATTGCTAGCATGACCAGTAGAAATAAAAAAAAAAAACACTTCAGCAGGTTACTTATTCCACGCAATACGTTCACTTACGACACTGATAAAAACACACATACACACACACACACGAAAAAAAATGTAAATACCATTAGAAATTTTCGCCCAAATGCACGATGATTTGATGAATACAATGATAACAGTAATAAATAATGATGATGCCATTAATGACTGAAGCTTTTGGAAATTTGTTTATGTCGAGGATATCGA